ACTCGGCACAAACACATACTCACTACATAGATATATTGTGAAACTCATTAGCACAATACATACAGTGCAGGCACCGCTTGGAGGCAGGCAGACAATTCTAATAAGTTCTAACACACACGGTCACGTTAGAAAGAAACACCAGTCAATAACTGATAATTAGGATGCTTACCTCGAGTAAGTTTTGTTTTTCCAAGAAAATTCAGATATCTAGATTAGTGTTGGTCCTCAGCTTGGTTGTTCATGTACAGCTGACATTCATGTATAAGTTAACAGATGAATTAAACTAGAGTGAATCCTGTAATATTCTCTTGAGAGTGTACCCATATAGATATACTACGAAACGGAGCAGACATACATGGATTTGGAACACAAGCTCAAGGCTTTAACATGCTTACGTTTTATTTCAGTGTCACCCTGCCTACTATCAATATAGATCATTATTATTAGTTAGTTCCTGATGCCCCTTGAGTCTTGTTTTCTTCTACAATACTCCAAAACAGACTGAGAAATTGTGGTGTTGTTAAGGCAGTTTCCTGAGGTATCCTAAAGCAGCATTAGAATATCCCCTATATTGTGTTATAGCATTTAGAATGTTAATAAACATTAAAATTACCTTTCATAGGATGTCGGTGTCACTGGCCAGGGCAGCATTTATTGCCCATCCCTAGTTGCCCAAGATGGTGGTGAACTGCCTTCTTGAACTGCCACAGCCCACGTGCTGTAAGTATATCCATAATACAGTTAGGAAGGGAGTTCCAGGATTTTGGCTGGGCAACAGTGAAGGACAGTGAAGTCAGGATGATAAGTGGCTTGGAGGTGAACTTGCAGATGGTGGTGGTGTTCTGCCAAACATTGTCCTTTTAGATGGAAGTGATCATGAACTTGGAAGGTGCTATCTAAGGTGAATTCTGCAGGACATCCTGTAGCGTGTACACACTGCTGCTTCTGAGCATTGATGGTTGAGAGTGTGGATTGCTGACAATCAAGCAGGCTGCATAACCTTGATGTCAAGATTGAGTGTTGCCAGAGCTGCACCATCCAGTCAGGTGAGGGTATTCCATCACATTCCTGACATATTTCTTGTAGATGGTGGATAGAAGGTGAGTTACTCACTGCAGGTATCCTAACCTCTGACTTGTAGCCATTGTTTTTGTGTGGCAAGTCTAGTTCAGATTCTGGAAAATGGTAAGCCTCAGGATATGGATAGTGGATATTCAGTGATGATAATGCCACTGAATGTCAAGCGACAATGGTTAGATTCTCTCTTGTTGGAGATGGTCATTGCCTGGCATTTGTGTGGCACAAATGTTACTTCCTGCTTTTCAGACAAAGCCTGGATCTTGTTCAAGTATTGTCACATTTGAACATGGACTGCTTCAGCATCTAAGCAAACTGTACTGAACATTGAGCAAGCCATTAACGAACATCCCCACTACTGATCTTATAATGCAAGGAAGGTCGTTGATGAAGCAGCTGAAGATGATTGGGCCTAGGACACTCCACTAAGGGACACCTGCAGAGATGCCTTGGAGCCGAGATGACTTGGAGCCGAGATGACTGACCTCCAACAACCACATCCATCTTCCTTTGTGTCAGCTATGACTCCAACCAATGGACAATTTTATCCCGGAGTCCCATTGACTTGAGTTTTGTTTGGGTTCTTTAATGCCGCACATTATCAAATGCAGCCTTGATGTCAAGAGCAGTCAGTCACCTCACAGCTGGCATTTGACTCTTCTGTCTATGTTTGAACTAAGGCTGTGATTAGGTCAGGGTCTGAGTGGCCCTGGTGAAACCAGGCATCAGGAGACAGGTTTTTGTCAGCAAATGCTGCGAATGCTTCAGCCTTATATTTTAGAGTCAGAGAGTTGTACAGCACAGAAACAGATTCTTCGGTCCAACTCACCTATGCTGACAAGATATCCTAAATCAATTTAGTCCCATTTACAAGTATTTGGCCCATTTTCCTCTGAACATTTCCTATTTATGTATCAATCCAGATGCCTTTTAAATATTGTTATTGTACCAGCCTCCTTCCTCTGGCAGCACATTCCATACACACACCACCCACTGAGTGAAAATGTTGCCCCTCAGGTCCTTTTTTAATTTTTTTCCCCTCTCATCTTAAATATATGCTCTCTAGTTTGGGACTCCCATACCCTGGGGAAAAGACCTTGGCAATTCACCCTATCCCTGCCCTTGATGATTTTTTAAACCTCTCAGGTCACCCCTCAGCCTCTGACTTTCCAGGAAAAATAGCCCCAGCCTATTCAGCTTCTCCCTGTAGCTCAAAACTTCCTACCCCAGCAACATCCTTGGAAATTTTTTTTGCACTCTTTCAAGTTTAACAATATCTTTGCCACAGCGAGGAGATCAGAATTGCACGCAGTATTCCAAAAGAGGCCGAACCAATGTCACTACTATGCCTTAAACCTCCTATTTTCATGAGCTTGCAGATGATACCAAGTTGGGTGGGAGGGTGAACTGTGATGAGGATGCACAGATCCTTCAGCATGATCTCAACAGGTTGGTTGGGTGGATAGATCAATGGCAGATGCAGTATAATTTGGATAAATGTGAGGTTATGCACTTCGGAAGCAAAAACAAGAACTCAGATTACTGCCTGAATGGCTGTAACTTGGGAGAGGGGAGTGTGCAGTGGGACCTGGGTGTCCTTGTGCACCAGTCGCTGAAGGTAAGCATGCAGGTGCAGCAGGCAGTAAAGTAGGCAAATGGTATGTTGGCCTTCATTGTGAGACTTTTTGAGTACAGGAGCAGGGATGTGTTGTTGCAGTTATACAGGGCCTTGGTGAGGCCTCACCTAGAATATCGTGTGCAGTTTTGGTCTCCTTTTCTGATTAATGATGCTCTTGCTTTTGAGGGAGTGCAGCGAAAGTTTACCAGGCTAATTGCGGGATGGCGGGTCTGACGTATGAGGAGAGATTGACTAGGTGGGGATTGTTTTCACTTGAGCTCAGACAAATGAAATGGGATATCAGAGACTTATAAAATTTTAACAGGACTAGACAGGGTAGATGCAGGGAGGAGGTTCCTGATGGTGGGTATGTTTGGAACCAGGGGTCCAAGAATGAGGACTCAGGGTAGACAATTTAGGACAGAGATGAAGAGACATTTCTTCACCCAGAATGGTGAACCTGTGGAATTCATTAGCACTGGAAGTAGTTAATGCCAAAACATTGAATGTATTGAAGAAGTGACTAGATGTAGCACTTGGGGAAAATGGAATCAAAGATTATGGGGAGAAAGCAGGATTAGGCTATTGAGTTGGACAATCAGCCATGGTCGAAAAGAATGGCAGAGCAGGCTCAAAGGGCCAAATGGCCTCATCCTGCTCATATCTTCTACATTTCTATGTTTACCTCCTCTCCCTGCCCCTCAATCATTGCAATTGGGATATTTGTGGACCTTCCTGCTTGAGTGAGTTGTTTAATTTTCCACCACCATTCATGACTGGTTGTGGCAAGACTGCAGAGTTTAGAGCTGATTTGTTGGTTGTGGAATCACTTACTTCTGCCTCTCTCTTGCTGCTTATGCTGTCTGGCATGCAAGTAGTCCTGCTTAGTAGCTTTACTAGGCCAATACCTCATTTTTAGGTTTGCCTGCTGCTGCTCCTGGCATGTGCTTCTGCATTCTTCACTGAACCAGAGTTGATCCCTGGCTTGATGGTAATAGTTGATTGGTGGATATGTGGGGCCATGAGGTTACAGTTTGCTAGAGTACAGTTCTGATGTTAACGGCCCACAGAGGCTCATGGTTCCCACTATTGAGTTGGTAGACCTGTTTGAAGTCTGTCCCATTTGGCACAGTGATAATATCACACAACACAATGGATGGTATTCTCAACATGAACCTTGTCATCACAAGGTTTGTGCGGTGGTCACTCTTACCGAATAGTGTCATCGATAAATGCATCTGCAGCTGGCAAGTTGGTAAGGATAAGGTCAATGACGTGTTCACCTCTTGTTAATTCCCTCACCACATGCCACAGACCGAGTCAAGCAGCTTTGTCCTTTAGGACACAACCATCTTGGTCAGTAGTGCTGCCGCTGAAGAGCCATTCTTGGTGGTCAGCATTGAAACCCCCCCCCTCCCCCCCCCTCCCCCCCCCCACCCCCCCCCCGCCCACGCACTTCCCTCCCCCTGTCTCTG